AAAAAATGAACTTAAATGATTTTAGCATATGGCTGCAATATAACAAAGAGTGAAAAATTTAAGGGGGTATGAATACTTTCCGTACCCACTGTATATTTCTCTATATATGCTATATGTTGATTGTACATTGGCCACCAGATCCAGTGGCGTAAAACATGAGCAAAATCATTTTATAAAATGTACACACAGTGTGTACAGGATTATGGCTACAGGCACTGCTGATCAGGCCAACACTTTAAAAACACATGCTTTCTGATACAGTTATTACAACCTCTCACATTTTGGCATTTCATGGCACAAAACAAAGCGCTCACTCTCTCAAGTCCATAAATTGACATTGACACAACTCGGTCACACAGTGTTTGTGAAACAGCTTGCAAACAGGTTCTCTCACTGTACTGGATATGAATCACACTGAGCAACATGCCACTGTGTCACCTGAAACTGACTGAGAAGGGTGAGGTCAAAGTCTTGATATCAGGGTAAACACAGATCAGGTCCAACATGTTTATTCAGGACTTTGTCTTTAAAGCCACAAGTGCTGAAAATCCAGTTTCACTTTGACACATGGTAGCAAAAGGCGTCAGAAACATCATCGCCTTTGTTTGACAAATCAGTATATCCTGAGTAAACATGCATCCAGCAATGAGCCAAGTGTGTGAACAAAGGACTATAACAACATTACTCCACAAGGTTGTCCTGCTCCCTGGAACTGAGACCTGCAATGGCATCCTCATTATGAAGGGCAAATGGATTCAGTATCCAGCTGTGTTGCTTGCTGAGCACAGGGAAGTATCACCAGAGCTGCCCCACAGGATCAGCAGGCGCTCTCTGGTGGCACCTGCCACAGAGGCCGGGATCTGCCTATCCTCTTTGTTTAGAAGTTCACACATATTGCCAAAGAAGTAGTAGTTGTTCTGAACCACTCTTCTGGTTCTTCTTCATATTAAGAACTGCATAGACACTGTTACCATGGACAAATGCATCAATGTCTACCCCAACCAGAAGCCTTGGATGAACTGGGAGGTCAAGTGGCTACTGAGAGAGAGGAACACTGCCTTCAGGACAGGCAATGGAGCTCTCTACAGCTCTGCTCTGCTACACAAACTGGTGGACAAGCTGGTGTACCTGGTAATTTCATATTCTACCTGCATATGGATTAATAGTTTGCTGTCTGGACGCAGCCAGAGGGTGAGAGTGGGCTCACACACATCCACGGATCTTAGCCTTAGCACTGGTTCCCCACAAGGTTGTGTGCTGAGCCACCTGCTCTATACCCTGTACACCCATGACTGCACCCCCTCCCACCACAGCAACACCATTGTAAAATTTGCTGATGACACCACAGTACGGTGGTGGGGCTCATCTCTGGGGGGGATGAGACTACCTACAGGGATGAGGTGGAGAGGCTGATAGTGTGGTGCAGAGAGAACAATCTGTTCCTTAATAGTTCAAAGACTAAGGAGGTCATTGTCGACTTCAGGAGGAAGAAAACCAACATCTTGCCAATGTATATCAGCAGGGACCATGTGGAGAGGGTGCTGGCCTTCCGCTTTCTGGGAGTCCATATTGAGGAGGAACTGACCTGGGGCATGAACACCTCTAAACTGTTTAAAAAACAACAGCTGTTTATTTTGTTTTTCTAGCGGTTATTTCTTATATGGTTTTATTTCATTATATATGAAAACACCACAATTTTTTTTGACACAAGATTAACGCACACACGTTCTGAGGCCATGACCCTCGGCCCACCCCATAGTTTGGGAAATCAGGAAGAGATGCAGTAATAATGCTGTGGATGTCAAGCAGAAACAAATCTCCTTGAGCAGAAAAGGATAAAGAAAATAGTGATGGGAATCTTTGAAGGGAGCCAGCTCTTATGGCTCCGTTCCTTTCATAGAGCATTTCAAAATAAGGGCTCATAGTTCCTTTATCTCACCATGTCTGCAATGGATTCTAACTGCTAAAGTGCATCAGGTTTCAGGTCTTTGTGTGTCTATCTGTTTGACCGAGGGTGGGGCTTAGTTACACATACAAGGTGCAGGCCAGACAGGTCACCTAATATCCTTCCTGCAGGGCTGTACAGAGGTGTGGCCCTGTTTACTTGTGCTTTAGAAAGAAACTGCCAATGTGTTGAAGACTCCTGATTTAGTGTGTAATAAAGCCAGTTTTAGTTAACCATGACTGTGATTACTGAGATTTTTACTCAAATGCTATCTGAAGGCAGCCTCTGCTAGCAAACCTCCTGAGTACCCTCATTATTCTACTACTCCATATAAATTTTGCTGTACTGTAATTTCAACTAGATTTTCCATTATAATTATTAAAATTCCAACTTTGTGGTTAATATTTTCTGAGACTAATACTGTGAGAAAGACTGAATACATCCTGGTGGCACCTACATTTTAGTAGTCTATCTACAAGTACCACCTGCATGCAGAATGAAGTGGCAGACAACCATTGGACTTTGGCATATTGAAAGATGCAAAGGATACACTAACCATGGCCTCCAGTTGACAGAAAGCAGGCATTCTGAGCTGCAATAAATGGATTTTTAGAAAAAAAAATTGCCTTGATGACTTCTTGCGACATATTCCGCCTTGAAATGCAAACCTCAAAGTAGGCTGCACTGACATGGGAGCCAGCTTGTGTATGTGCTAATATGTGTGCATACAGTTGTTTATTTGTATATATACAGTATGTGTATTTGAGAGTGTATGTACCGAGGTATCAGAGCTGTCACAGTAGTAAGAGCACAGACAAAGTAGAAGAGTGGCTGGGACATCTGGAGCGTTTCCACCCCCACAGGGTTTGTGGGGGGGTTGCAGGTCACACAAAACACACTGAGGAGCAGCACAAAACCAAAGTAGGAACCACCACTGAGCACCAGCACCAGAACATGAATCCATGTCTGCAAAACAACACAAAGGATTAGACTCCACAACACAAGTGGAGACACACAGTTGTAACTGAATATTTCTGCTCGATTTGATGTCAGTTCTTGTCTTGTCAGTCTTGACTACATTTTTGCATATTACATTCTCCAGGTTTGTGCTGCCCTAGGATAACATGCATTACATCCAGGCCAGGAAAGGTATTTCAATAGCAAGCCACTGAAGTAAAATTCACGTTCAAACGAAGTGATTTCAAACAGATTTTAGTGTAGTGGTGTGTCTGACCAGAGTGTGACTCTCAAGGACTTGATGCAGCAAGATGATGAAGAGAGCTGAGGCATTGATTGGAGAGCCGAGCGTCAGCTCACCGGCATCTGACCCTGCTAAGGCCTGAAACAAACACAACAATCTTATAGTTGGATGAGAACAGGGCTGTTTGTTTATCACTATGCTAAATAAATACCACGTGATCAGTTGTAAAGCTGTCAGTTGAAGGATTATCAAGAAAGAAACATTGATACTGTACCTGTATCAATTTAGAAACAGTTCAGAACAGTAGTCGAGCACAAAATTTGATAGGCAGCCTATTTAGCCAGTCACCACAAATGTAAAGAGAAGCAGGACAACAAAAACAGTGATGAAGAAACTACTCAACAGAACTGAATGATCTGACACAGTGTACTTACAAAGTACGGCACAAAGAAGCAGACAAGGCTTTGGTAAAAAGCATCCAGAACTGTGATCCAGAACATACAAGGAACATAGACCTGCAGAAGAACAAAATTCATCTGTTAGTCTTTCTAAATAGTCTCAGCAGGTATGCAGACAGCTGTCACTGTCACAGACATCATGCATGCTGTCGAAGAGAGCAGAGAATTGGACAGCGGTGACAACTGTAGACAGCAGTACGAGCCTAAGGCATGGTTTTCTATGTGATTTTACCAGTGTATGTTTACTGGTGTATGTGTGTACTGCTGCCTTTAAAAAAAGGGGAAGTTGATGTGTGAAAAAGGGGAAGTCAGCAGACACATCCCTCCAAAAGAGGAAGTGCAGACAGAGCTGTCTGCATCTGTAAAAGAAAGTGAAGAACCACTGAGTTTACTGAAAAGGAAATTTAAAAATAATGGCTTCATGCATAAAGGAACCATTTGATTGATCAATGATAATTAGTGTTTGATCAACTGTTAAGGTTAATCACTAATTAAAATTTAACCAGCGAGAAATGCATGAGTGTCCACCAAGAGGGAAACCAGTGTGGGAATCATAATTGTCAACAGAATCCAACAACCACCAACTTGATCCAGCCAGTGACTGGTGATGACTGAGAGATTCTTTGACTTTTATTCAGTGATGGGAGAGCTCAACTATACAATGATTTTATTCAGTGTAGAGAGTTTAAACTAAATGATTAGGAATTAATGTTACTGATTTTTGAAATTGTAAGTTGAATTTGGTGATATTTTGTATTATTTCTTGCTGCTATGCTGTTAGTCTTTATACAAAATTTCTAAACTTTCAGATTAGCTCTCTTTTTACTGAGTTATCCTTCTTATGATTTTTTGTCTTCTACAGCTGAGAGTTAGAAACTCTATCAAGGGATGTTTAAAGCTGCATATGATGTTTACTACATAAACTGAAATATAAGTAGTTTAAATGTGGTTAACCTCTCAAGAGTGAAGCAATGATGACTGATCTACTTATTCCATCTTGGATATCATAAACAGTGTCTGATCATAGGAAGTTAACTTATGTCAGCTAAACACTGTGCACTCATTTCATGGTCATACATGGCCAAAGTCATGGCTTTTATGGGTTATTTTGAGACCAAACTAACCACTTCCTCAAAGAGACAGAGTAAACTGGTTCCTAAAACTTCTCAGTAGAGTACATCTGATGGTATAAGGAGGTAGCTGCCTATAACTACAGGTTGTTACTGTTCAGGGGGATTTGGGGTCTTGCTCAGAATTAATAACATGTAAGAGGGAAGTCTGCAGGGAACTCTATTCTCAGGTTCATGGTAGTCAATTACTGAGTGAATATCTCTGCCAAAAACCTCAAGTAGTGTTTGGAGTTTTAATATGTTTCAAATATGTCACCTTAATGTGAGAGGTTGAGCTCTATTTCTATGACCAGGGGTTAGCATATTGTGGGCTTCAAACAATGCTTTCCTACCTTGTTCATTTGGGGCCTGTTTTCGTCTGGTATGGTACAACCTATTGCAATCCAGTGTAGTAGTCAAATGCAATAAATCTTATATCATTAACTGTTAACTCAGCTTATGTTACAATTAACATACAGTAATTAAGTGTTCATTCTTACACCAATTGTTTCTGATAATATGAAGTGAGCCTGAAAGGACCTGATCATGTGATCAGTATTAATATTATTCTGGGTAAGTCGTCCTAGTCCACAGAAATCAATTTTCTTTGGTACACTGAATAACTGTAGGAAATGTGTAATGTGCGAAAAAAAAGTAAAAATACTAAACAGCAGCACCTGTGTTTGCAGATTTTGAAAGGCCTGGTTTGTGTGAGACATCTGGTGCATGTGCAGTCACCTGGGAGGTTTGTGTAGCCTGGTAGAGCTCAGGCAGCCCCATCAGTAAGTCTGCAGACATGTTTTGATCCAGGACGCCATAGATTAGAGGAGGGATGGAGGTGAAAAGCAGGTTGAAGATGATTAGCACCCAGGCGTTGGTCATGACGCTCCCAGAGAAACCACAAAAAAACTGATACCAGAAGAGCAGATTTACAAACATCTGCAGATAGAAACGGAGAGACAAACAGAAAGAAATGAGGATCCTCCTAACATCTTGATTTTCTGTTAATAGTGATGATGATGGAACCTTGGCCAATCCATAGCTGTTCCCCACCCAGTCTGAACATGCCTGGGATGTTTTCCCCCAAGTGACACATTCAATGCTGTCTTGTTAATGCCCCTAAATACTGTGTGGAATCCAGTTGTAATGTTGTATATACAGTATCTGCTAGGTGTGGGCAATAATTTGAATATATTATGACTTGTTCTATCTGGGATGTAGTAAATGACTATATTTCAAACAGAGTGCAAATTGTAACATTTTCTAAGCTGCCAGCATGAGACTTGCTTTGGAGTTTTCTTTCGCTCTCTCCTATGGCTCTCTGGAGAAACCGACCCTTTAAAAAACTGAGCAAGTGGCAAAAGCTTGATTAAACCAACTTTAGTGCAAATACTTCAGGTTACTTAGTGGCAAAATCTGTAAAGACCAGCATGAACCTGGTTTCTGATATATCCCTTTCCACAGGGCGGACAATGTGCCTCATTCACCAACCTCTTCCTAAGTGTTTTCTGAAATTTGTTCTTAAAAAGGTCTTAAGAAAAGTCTATGATTCATGAACGTGTTCTTAAAACAGAATTGTTTACACCCCGGTAATATCATAGAAATTGACCACCTACTAATTAAATACAAAAACCCTCTCCTCATTTCTCTAGCTACTGCCAAGAAAACAATCTTTCAAAACTACACATAAACCACTGAACCAACCTTCTGATAGAACACATCACATTAGAGAAAATGGCATCCACTCACAAGAATAGTTTATCAGCTTTTTATGACACATGGAACCCATTTTAAACACATTTCAACTTGAAACAAACACCTGGGGCTGAGGCCATGCACATTCCCACCAACCTCTAAAATGGTAACAAGCTGATTTTATTATCATTGTTATTGGTAATTTTTTATTTATTTATTTTCCCTTCTTTACATAAGTTGGAAATACACACACTTCACACCCTCACGCACTACAAGCTTGTTAAACACTCTATATCCTTTTGTAATGTCATGTATGTTGTCTTGTCTCCCATGTTCCGTACTGTTTTGTTAATGTGTTACTTTGTTTCAATTTAAAAAAAAAAAGAATTCTTCACACCTGTGTTCTTATATTGATGAATCCCATGGGCTACTAAGTTGAAAGCGCGTGCCAGTTGTTCCTAATTAGTTTAGGTTAACTCCCGACCAATGCCCACGAAGGGGCATGAGAATGCACAGCAGTGTGCACACATCTCACACACAAACTGAAAAGAGAAGCTGAGAAAGCCAGGAATGCTACAACAAAAATATAAAGACGGTGGAGCAGCAAATTCCAAACCAAAGAAAAAGCTCAGTAGTTATGAAATGGAGAAAGCAAATGAGCTGCCATATTTAGTAGTGTCAGTAGTGGATATAAAATAAAACACCAGTCAGTCAGAACTGATGAAGCCTCTTGGATGAGAGGTGAAATGTCTTCAACCTGAAAACCTAGTCCAGTTGATTTTTTTCTGTTTTTTTTTCAGCTGTGTAAATGGGTTTTAAGAATATATTAATTTTTAAGAATGTTTGGTGAATGAGCCCCAGAGTCCATCCCAAGGTACTAAAAATGATGGGCCAAGTTTGAGGAGAGGCGGGAGGGAATCCCGTAGATGATGTTAGGTGTTTGCAGCTTCCCCAACCCATACACACAACTACGTTTTTATTTGCCTAATAGCAGAAGGAGTAAAAAAACTTTGAAAAGCAGTTAGTTCTGCTGAGAGGTGCATTAAAACAGCAGCCTGAGGGCATCACAGTCAGTTCACTGGACAAAACATGGCCAACCTGGCTTACAATTCCTTCTGTTTTCTGAACCAGTTGTTTCTCCCAAAGGGAACACAAGTCTCCCTGCTGGACTGCAATTATCTCTGAGCAAACTCTGACAATACCATTTAAGCTATTTTTGTCTTTCACAGACAACCCATTAAACCAACAAATTAACAAAAATGCTAAAAGACTTTCAATAAACGACTGATAAAAGTTACATAAAATAGAATCACATACATTAAAAGGACCAAGCTTCTTCATTAAGTAGATTCTTGTTTACCACGCTTGACAACCAACTCTGTGCTTATATCAAACTTAAGTTCAGAAAAGTGTTCTCAGAGGACACAGAGGATTTACACATCACTATTTTCAGTTTTAATTTTGATTTTCCATACTGATCTGGGGTTGTAGCGTCAGGACCAGCAGCCTTCTTTATCTTGACCCTACTAAAAACGGCTGTGACACATTCCTAAGATATCACTATATTCTGCCAAGGTTCAAGAGGGCCTTTAAGAATGCTAATATTTTAGATCTTTCAAAGCGAGAAAAAATGAGTTGAAAATCCTGCCAGGTCTCAGGCTAGGGGAGGACTCAAAATGCAGACACAGGCTGAGGAATAGTTCTTATTAGCAATCCACTTCATTGACTCTGATGAAATGTTTTAAGTTTTTCTTTTCTACGTCACTGAGCGTTCTGCGTTGTGCCTTTGGAGTGATCTTGGCTGGGTGCCCACTTCTATGGAGAGTAGCCACAGTACCAGATCATCTCTGTTTATAGACGGTGTCTCTAACTGTAGACTGATGAAGATCTAAAATCTATGAGACAATTCTGTAACCATTTCCAGCTACATGCAAATCAACATGACCATAGGTCTTCTGAGATCTTTTTGTGAGGCCTGGCTCACATCAGCTGATGCTGCTAAACCACACCTCCATTCTCGTTTCATTGACTGGACTGCAGGTTTGCCAACACCTGACTCCAGTTGATGTTTAGTGACATCAGAAGCCTGGTGGTACCATTATTGACCTGGCCAAACAGAAGGGGTTACCAAACCCACTTCTTGACAGTTCCTCATCATGATTTGATGTGTTAAAGTTCTTGCTTGTAGTACCTCCTCTGGAAATGTCACTGAACAATGTCTTACAAATTGCATACCACCGATCTTTCTCTGAGACAGTGAACTGGCCAACATTTTTTTCACTTTTATTTGGAAACAAACCACATGTGCAAGTCGTCACACAAGAAAAGGCTGTTATGGGTGGTATTAGGCTATAGTGCCACTTAGTGGATCTGTCTTGAATCTGCAGCTGGGTAGTCTGAGTCAGACCACAAATAACCAACACATTATTTAGCCAGTGCAAACCTGATGAGACGCAAGAGATAAACAGCCATCATGAATGTCATCTAATTTGCCAGTTAGGCTGATGATAGTCAACAAGGCAAATTTTGGCCAGTATCAATGTAAGGTTGATAAATTGGTGCATCCCTAATTTTAACCATTATTTTAATTAATACTGTGGATTTGCTCAAAGTATTTAGTTTGCCCTTGTTAACAAACTGGCAGTGAAGTGTCACTGTGCTAGAAACAGATGTGTTTCTAAGATGGCTATGACATATTTTAGACCAAAACAGCTCAATTGCATTGCCTCATTTGAATGAGCCTCTTACCTGTTTGCGCCTCTATGCTGGGCATCAAAATACCACATAGATGGGCACAGAAAGCTCAAGGTCAGGAAAAAAACCAAACTGTCAGTGTGCTTCTTGTGCTGGTCTCTACACCACCATGAATACAGTAAGAGTACCACTGTAACCTGATACTTAAATCAAGCAATTTAAAAAACATTTTTAAACAGTAGGTAAAGAACTTTTACCACATTTTTGTAGATGAAGTAGAGGATCATGTTTGCAAGACGAGAGTAACACCAGTGGCCATGGACTAGCAACAGCTTGCTAAGATGTTTAAACCTGGAGATGGCAAAGTCACTGGACATCACAGCCTGTAGAACAATAGAGGGATGTGTTTAGAAATAGAAGGCATAGTTATGACTGGTACAAACACAATATGTTTAATTACAAATAAAATAATTTTAAATAATTAAAGAAAAAGCAGACATTTACCTCTGTTAATTCCTAAGGGCAAGTAAAACTATAATGTACTGGCTAGTATCATATCACATAGATGCTAATATGACCATAACCTGTCTTCTTTCCAATTTTCAGCTGCATCTTACTAGCTCTGGTAGTTTTAGTGGAATGAAAAATGCAGAGTGGTTACATAAGCAAGGTATATTTTAGTACATAATTTGCAACATCCAAGATAGTCACAAACCTATGGAGAGTGTCTCAACTGTAACAGCTGAATAAGACATACACAAAGTAAAGCCACTTTCATGAGTTATAAAGACCTGTGTGACTTTGGTCTAATGATTTTTACCTGCATACCCTCCTGACCAGATATTCCAATGCCCACATCAGCCATCTGAATCATGCTCACATCATTGGCTCCATCCCCTAAAAATAAATAGATTTAGAAAATCTTTTAAAATGTGTTGCTCTACTTTATAGTACTGTATACAGTGGAGCAAATAAGTAGTTGATACACTGCCGATTTTCAGGTTTTCCCACTTACACAGAATGGACGGTTCATTAATTTTCATCGTAGGTACACCTCAACTGTGAGAGATAGAATCTACAAAAAAATTCTAGTAAATCACATTGTTAGATTTTTAAATAATTTATTTCCATTTTATTGCATGAAATAAGTATTTGATCACCTACCAACCAGCAAGAATTCTGGCTCTCACAGACCTGTTAGTTTGTCTTTAAGAAGCCCTCCTATCCTCCACTCATTGCCTGTATTAATTGCACCAGTTTGAACTCGTTACCTGTATAAAAGACACCTGTCCACACACTCAATCTATCAGACTCCAACTTCTCCACTATGGGCAAGACCAAAGAGCTGTCTAAGGACACTAAGGACAAAACTGTAGACCTGCAGACCTGCACAAGACTGGGATGGGCTACAGGACAATAGGCAAACAGCTTGGTGAGAAGGCAGCAACTGTTGGCACAATTATTAGAAAGTGGAGGAAATTCAAGATGACTGTCAATCTCCCTCGGAATGGGGCTCCATACAAGATCTCACCTCGTGGAGTATCAAT